CTTTCAGTGGCACAGGGACAGGGGGCAGGGACAGCTGCGGGTGGGGTGGGGTGGGGGCCTGTGTCTGTCACAGCCAGGCCTTGCCCTCCGCATTCTGAGGACGGTTCTGGGGACATCCCCCCAAACACACACACACACACACACACGGATCGCAGAAAAAAACCACTCGGCTGCCTGTGTGTGAACTTGCACCACAAGTGGTCCAGCACCTGGATCCACACACACCACACTGACCTCCTGTGGCGACATCACATCAGGGGCCAGGATCTACACCCTAACTCTCATCCTAACCCAGGTCCAACCCTAACCCTAATTCTAACCCTAACCCTAACGTAGGTCCAATCCTAACCTTATCCCTAACCCTAACCCTAACCAGGGTACAACCATAAAGCTACCCCTAACGCAGGGCCAACCCTAACCCTATTCCTAACCCAGGTCAAATCCTAACTCTATTCCTAACCCTAACCCTAACCCTAACCCAGGTCCAATCCTAACCATATCCCTAACCCTAACCCAAACCCAGATCTAACCCTAATGTAAACCCTAACACAGGTCCAACCCTAACCCTAATCCTAACCCTAACCCAGGTCAAATCCTAACCCTATTCCTAACCCTAACCCAGGTCCAATCCTAACCATATCCCTAACCCTAACCCAAACCCAGATCTCACCCTAATGTAAACCCTAACACAGGTCCAACCCTAACCATAACCCTAATCCTAATGCAGGTCCAACCCTAATGCAAACCCTAAAACAGGTCCAACCATAACCCTAATCCTAACGCAGGTCCAACCCTAACACCCCTAACTCTAGCCCTCCTGGCAGGGCTCCCTTCCCCAGCTGCTTGCTTCGGGCTGGGAGGACTGCAGTCTGCTCCCTGGGAGGGCAGGGACATGGGACTGGCCCAGACAGTGGGACTACGGGGTGTGAACCCCCTGGGGCAGAACTCTGCAGCCAGAGCTCCTACAACTTCTGCAATTCCTTCCCCACTGTGGCCACGGAGCCCCCCCCCACCCCCCCCAGTGGGAGCCCTCCAGTGCGTAGGGCCTTGGTGCTAAGTGACATGCCTGGAGGCGTTGGCCTCACTGGGGGACGAGATGGGAGCTCTAGCCATCTCTAGGCTGGGCGCTGGCTGCCTCTGGAAGGTCCTGTCACCGAACTCCAGGGGGCTCTGCAGGGCACACTCCCCAACCCACCAGGTGTGCCCTGCCCTGGGGGAAACAGACCCTCTTGGGCCAGAGTCGATGTGGTCACCGCCCCAGCCTGTCCCCCAGCATCGAGGGGCCAACACCTGCGGGTGGACAGGATTCTCTGCTGTTCTGGGCCGGGAGCCACCTGCCTTCCACTGCTTCCCCCAAGAGGTCCCCGACACCGCCTGGCAGATGAGGTCCCTTCCGGCCAGTCCTGCCCCGTGGTATGGGAATGGCAGAGGGTGCTTTCCCAGCACCGGCACTGCCGGGGGCGCCTGGACACTCAGACAAACGGTGGGAACTTTACAACTGCTGTCTTCTGCTTTATTGACAGGTAAATTGTTCAAAATGTTCTCACGGTGATTCAATAATTACAAAGACTCCGACTTACATTAAAAAAGTAAAAACCAGAACCCCCAGCAGGTGCCAGCCCCAGCAGAGGCCCAGGGGTGGGCGGCGGGCAGCTGCTGGGTTGGTGCCCACGGGCCCGCTGGAGCCGCGCACTGTGCCGCCTCAGGAAGTGCTCGCTGTCAACAGCATCCCAGGAGCTGCCGGGCAGTGGGGAGCAGCGTCCTGGCTGAGACTGGCCAGGGACTCGACCTCTCCCAGGACGGCCACAGACCTGGCTACGCACGCGACACGGGGAGGTGAGCGTGAAAAAAGGCCGGGAGGACGATGTGCAGAGGGCGTCTAAGGGCCCCACAGGTGCTAACCCGGCTCCATGGGGAGTCCGGGCGGGTGGGCGGGGCCTGGCTGCACCAGGACACCTGCTCCAGGGAGGCGGGAGCTGGGAAGCGAGTGGGAAACAGCACAGCCGACTTCACAGTAGTAGGTACTGGTGACTTGTGGTTGTGACCGGGAAGGGACTCACACACAGGGGACCAGGCCGGGCGGCGTCCCTCACAGGCCTGTGTCCATGGTCCAAGGTCAGCAGCAAGACTTCTGCAGCAGGCTCCTGTCCTCAGGACCAGACGCTGGATGACATGGCTTCCTACCTTCTCCTCGAGCTGCCTGCCTCCCAAGCAGAGCGCCAGGGCTGCGGGGTCTGAGCGGCGGCCTTGCGGGCCCAGCACCTTCCCACCCGTCTGGTGGGGACGAAGGGTCAGGTGCACGGCCCCGAGCAGCGTGGCATGAACGGTCACGTTACAATAGAGTTTTCTGCGTCTCATCTACAAGTCATTCTGCATCTCCGTGGACAACACTAGGGGGTCCGCTCTTGGCACTGGCATTGGAGCCATGCGGCTCCTGGGCCCGTGGTGACGAGGTGGTGGCCGGCGGCTTCAGGCGTCATAGGCCGGCGGCTCCAGGCCTTCCATGGGGAGCTGGCTCCTGTGGGGGGAGGTGGGGCTTGGCGGGCCGCTGGGGTTGGAGCTGTTGGAAGGAGTTGAGTGTTTGGTGGAATCGGAATCCGGCTGTTAACACAAAGGGACAACGTGAGAAGCATCGCCCAGGGCCTGCGCAGAGGGAGCCCAGCCCGACAGGGTGTCTGTGGGGCACCTGCTCTCTCCTTTCCTGTGATGAGCACACGCTGATGAGATCAGGAACCAAGCCGGGCCCCACAATGATAGTAATTAAGGAGGCAAAGGGGGCGCCCCGCACAGTGAGACACGGACGCCGTGGTCGCCAGTTCCAGACACGACACTCTCTCATGCTGCATGCTCCAGGGAGAGAGGAGAGGCCTTTCCTCACAGGGCGAAGGGCGACCATGAACCCCACAGCCAGCCCCGCACCGGAGGTGAACAGGCTGCCCGCTTCCCCGGCCGCTGCAATGCACGCAGGCGCCAGCCAGCGCACCGAGGCGAGAGAAAAGGCGCCAAGTGGGAAAGGAAGAGGCCACGCCGCCTGCTCCCAGGTGGCACGAGTCTGCGCACAGAAAACACGACCGCACACCAAGAGCACCCGTGCTCCTACACCAACGTGACAACCTGAAACGGGAATTCAGGAAACAATCCATTTACAACAGCGTCTGACAGAACAAACAGCTTGGAGTCACTTCACCAAGGAGGCCAGAGGGCTGGTCCCGGGAACCAGGAAACGCGGCTGCGAGACAGAGGTCGGTGACGAGAGGGCCTCCCGTGGCCGCGGTCGGAGACCACATGTTGTTGACACAGCAACTCCCTCGAGTGACCTACAGACTCAGCTCAATCCGCCTGAGATTCCACTGTCCCGCCCACCCCCCGAAATGGAAAAGCCAATCCTCAAGTTCCTATGCAACTGTGAGGGCCCAGAATAGTCAAAACCATATTGAGTGAGAAAAGCTGGAGAACTCCCACTCCCCAAACTTATTATTTTCAAAAGCAACTCATCAAAACAGGGGGGTGCTGACATCAAGGCAGGAGGAGCCCCGAGAGCCCAAGAGACACACTTGCAGCCAGTGTCAGTGCCGAAGGCGCCCCCACCACTCAACCGGGAAGAACAGCCGCTTCCACACACAGTGCGGGGCCCCCACAGGAAGGAGCTGACCTCTGCCTCACGCGCCTGCAAGCGAACGCCAGGGGACCCATGCGCTGCGCACAGGCCAACCCTCAAAACCGTAGGAGGAAACGGTAAGTGCTCATGACTGCGGACGTGGCAACGGGTCTAAGTTCTGACATCGAAAGCATAAGCACAAAGACTGGACTCCATCAGAACGGGAAACGTGCATGAACAAGAGGGCGTGACCAGGAGGGTGAGGACCACCCACAGGACGGGAGGAAACATCCGCAAGCCACACAGCGACGGGGCCTGGTATCCAGACAGAAAGAGCTCCCGCAAACCAACAAAAAGACAAACAGCCCATGAGAAATGCAGAAAGGACTTGAAGACGTTGCTCCAAAAGCATACGAATGGCCCAGCGACCAGTCACCACTCGGGAAGCGTACACCCAGGCTCGGGGGACTCCGCGTTACACCTGCTGGGATGGCTGCTGAGAAAAGGGGGGCCACGCACCTTGGTAAGAAGCAGAGAACTTCCCCACGTGTCCTGCGGGGGGGGGGGGGGGACGACATGGGCAGCTGCTATGGCAAACTGTCATCATGTGACCTGGCCATTCCACTCCCAGGGCCACACCCCAAAGTGAAGACAGCACTCAAACAAGTCATGCACACACATTCACAGCAGCCGAGAGGGGAAGCATCCCACAGCAGCCATCCGTGGCCAGGGACTCCTAAATGTGTGCTCATCCTGGGGGATGTTTGCACTAAAAAGGAGCAGCCCGCAGACGCTCAGGCTGCAGCATGAAGACCGGACACGGTGATGCTGAGGGAAGCAGGCATGGCTGCCCCACCGTGTGATCCCGACACGAAATGCCCAGAACAGGCCCCAGCGACAGGCGGTGGCCATGGGCCGGGCAGGGCAGGCGGTGGGAGAGGCTGCCTTGTCGGGTGATGAAATGCTCTGACCAGTCAGAGCTGGTGGCTGCACAGCACTGTGAACCTACTGAACAGCCACCGGACCACTCCCCAAACCATTCCTTTCTGCGAATTTCACTTCAATTTAAAAGAACCAGGTCAGAGCAGGACAAACAGGGGCCGTGCGCCACTGAGGACACCACTGTCTGTGAAGCCTCCAGCCCCGGGCCCAACGTGGATCAACACAAACCCACCAGGAGCCCCTAGAGAACACTGGTCAGCCACGTGAAGGGCGGCCGGGGCTGTCCCAGGCAGGAGACGCAGGCGGCGGTAGCCGGATGCCGCGTAGCCGCCGGCCCTGCACCGGAGGAGGGTGTGGGGAGGACGCGGGACACAGGACTCGGGGCCAGCTCGCCATCAATCCACTCAGGTAAGGGCCTCGATGTGTGCAACCTGCCCCTCCAGTTCAGCACGTGCGTCCCTGAACTCTGACCTCGCGGCCATCAGAGGGAGGGAGAGGCCGAGGGAAGGCTCTCCAAGACCAGGGGCTGCCTGAGTTAGAGACAGAACCGTCTGTG